GTTGCAATGGGCGGGAAGGTGGGCCAAGGGCAGGGGATTGTGGGAGTTGTAGTCTAAACCTTTTGGAGCGCCCCTTTCACCCCCTTCTTGAAGCAAACTGTTATACTCAAGCCACTGACATGCTGCCCTTTTCACCTTCACTGAACGGATCCTCAGGGTTCAGGGAGAAAGAGGAGTGGCTGACTTTCCGCAGTGCATTTGCTTGTCTCTCTATGACAGCCCCGTGGATTTTGCCCTCAGCTCTCTCAGTTCAATTTGAGAGCTTTCTCTCCCAGAGGATTTACACATGCCAAATTCCCACCCACCCAGGATGACCCGAGCCAGCCCCATCCCTAGAAATCCTGCCACACCACCCCAAACTGCCCATTTCTCTCCGTGCTTCCCCTGCAACAGGTGGGAAGGTGGGTGGGAAGGCAGGACGGACAAATGGGGCTCATTTCTCCCTCCCTACCCAGGTACAAGGCAGCGCTTCACCGGGCGAGGACGGGGACCCGAGAGACCCTTTCCTTCCACCCAATCCACACTTGGTGCTCCCCTAAGGGAGGAAGGCAAGATGTGGCAGGCAGAAAGAGCTGGATTGTCTGGCAGTGCCAGCACCAGATCCACTACCTGCACCACGGCTGCAGCCGCCTTCACAAATTTGGCTTGCTCCAACGCCCCCTACCGCCCCTTCTGTTCCGCCACCCCCACACCTCCCCTTTTTGTTCTACTGCCCCCCTGAAAAATGAAATCGCCCCCTGGGGCGAGTTATTGCCCACGTTAAGAACCACTGGTCTAGTCCGACCTTGACATATCATTTACTAGTAGATTTTCGCGTGTCGCTGAGACAAGTATATCTGGCAGAGCAATGTGAGGATTTTCTCAAGGGAATGGTGGATATCTATTTAAGCCCCCTCCCCCTGAAGAACAGAAATACATGCTTGTTGAATCATACCAAGAATCCCAGGTAGCCCAGCATTATCAATGTCAGCTATCCAATTCCCCTCCAAAGATGAAAAGAAGAGTTATCTTGGCTCTTCTTGTCATTCACTGTTCTGGAGGACTCTTTTAAACATGATCGTTCACTTTAGAAGCACACATACCTGTTATGAAGTCACCCAGTGCATTCATAACTGAGAAGAGGCATATGGAAAATAGGTTTTATATTTATTTATTTTATTTAAAATATTTTAAAATGTTTAAATACTTTTGCCTTAAAAAGGACTCAAGGTAGCAGACTTCATTAGAAAACAATATTTAACGCTGACAATGGTGAGTATACAAAAACAAAAGGATCATAAAAATACCATACAAAAAACATTAGTAGCACCAAAACACATTCAAAACAGTAAGATACAACAATCCATTTAAAAACATAAGCAACACTGAAACATATTCAAAGCAGTAAGGTACAGCAATCCATTTAAAAACCCACTCAGGAAGCCAAGTCACTCAGGAAAAGCTTGCCTGAAGAGAAAGGTATTTGCTTGCTTGCAGGACAGCAAAGATGGGGCCAGCCTACCCTCCTGTGGGAGGCAGTTCCAATGTCTGGGAGCAGCGACAGAAAAGGTCCTCTCCCCTATCCCCACCAAACACACCTGTGAAGGTGGTGAGACCAAGAGAAAGGCCCTTCCTGTTGATCCTAACACTTGAACAAGTTCATAAAGGGAGGTGCAGTTCTTGAGATAGCTTGGCCCCAAGCAATTTAGGGCTTTATAGGTTGGAATCAGTACTTTGACTTCAGCCCAGAAACAGATTGGGAGCTAGTGCAATTGCTGTAACATGGGTGGTTGTGTGATCCCTGTGGCCTGTCCCAGTTAGAAATCTGGATGCTGCATTTTGGACCTCCTGAAGTTTTCCGACATTTTCCATTGGCAATCCCACATAGTGTGCATTACAGTAATCCAGCTGGGATGTAACTAAGGCATGTGTCACTGTGGCCAGATCCAGCTGGGGTGTAACTAAGGCATGTGTCACTGCGGCCAGATCAGACCTCACAGCTGGTGCACTAGCTTTAACTGTGGAAATGCATTTCTGGCTACCACTGAGATCTGGGCATCCAGATGAACTGGATAAATTCAGGAGCAGATGCATTTATGGTACAGAAGAATGATTTCTTTGCTGCCTCCATTGCCATCCAATAGGTCTTCCAATGGGTCCAAGCCTGTGTACAATCAGATTCACTCTGAGTTTTCCACCATCATCACTCGAGTCTATGTTCTGCTTGTTTCATAACCACCAGCTCCTCAGTAAGCCAGGCGGCCAGTTTGGTTCTACTTTGTGGGAGGAGAGATTTGGAAGCAATCTCCATTGCAGAAATCAACCAGGGCTTCAACAGAATCACTTGCCAAGGTGGTAGGAAACTCCCCAGGAGCTGTCAGGAAACTATTTGGATCCATCAGCCTTCTGGGATGAATAATCTTAGCCAGACCCCCTTTCCCACAAAGGCTCTGAGTTCAGAGCTGCCTCAGCATGGAAGTTGAAGTCCACAGCTAGAAAGCTGAGAGGGCTCCAGCACGACCCCTGATATCAGCTCAGTTAGCTCAGGAAGAGAGGCTGTTGAGCCGTGGGGAGGGCAGTACACCAGAATAGGGATTCTGTTGGTGCTCCTACTTTCAGAAACTCAGGGAACTGGGGAATGTGACCCCTGGTGAGAGGGACAGACTATTGCAATTCTACCTCCCCACCTCCAAGTTGTGGCTGCTGCTGCTGATGCAGATTTAACAAATTGTCCAGGATGGTGGATTATAAGACTAAATTTCTTTGCCTCTCCTCATTTGTGGATTCATAGTGCATGCATATGAACTTTTTCAAATGATGAAGTCTTAATTCTTATTAAGGTAGTAGACCTGTGTATGGGCAGTAAAACCCATGATAGAATAGTCCTATGCACAAAACAATTTGTTTTACATAGTGTGAAAGAAAATGGGCGATACCTTAGGCCTTTCCATTGCACACTATTTTTTTTTAAATTCACGAATTGGTTTTTTATAGGAGTATTAAGTGCAATAGCTTTTGGTTTAAATGCATCACTTGTGAATATTTCTAATGCAAGATAGCTGTGGAAACACAGGAAGTTCCTTATACCTTACATGTATCTTACATGTAAGATGCCATAGAATGGCCGAACAGTGCATCAACTGAACACCAACATGAGTTCTCGAACACCATGAACTCTTGAAACCAAACAATCAGTAGTACATACTAAAGAAAGCATCCAATTGCCTGTGAATGACCTCTGTTTTAAGAGATGGGCCCTAAATTAGAAATTGCTAGCTGAGGAGGAGCTTGAAATCAACATGCATGCTGCAGCTATTATTTATTTATTTATTTATTTATTTATTTATTTATTTATTTATTTATTTATTTATTTATTTAAATTTTATTTTATTTTATTTTATTTATCCCCCGCCTGTCTGTCCTGCC